TGGGCAGTGAGGGGCGGCAGAGCATTCTGCCGCCTTATGCCCCGGTTGACCGCAGCGGAAGCACAGTCCGCCGCAGTCGAAACAGCTGTCGCACTTGACGCGCGTGTGTCCCGATGCTAGGCATTTGTAGCACCTCATCGGTCTCGCCGCCAGGACTGTGATCCTGGCGCTCACGAAACCGATGAGCAGCCTGCCGGCGTCGGCCAATACTTTGGCCGACGCTACGGGACAGCTGACCCACACGGCGCCAAGCCCTCCTGGACCGGGGCGGATGGTGCCGACCCTGACGTTGTCCGCGCTGCACCCCGTCTTGTCCCGGATTACAGCGCGGACATCTTCGGCCGTCACAGAGTCGTCCAGGCCCGAGATGCGCAGCTCTGCGCACTTAGTAGGCCTGGCGATCTTTACACCATCCGTGGCTGTAAAGAGTCCCCGCAGCTTCTCGGCAAATGTGTCCGCCGTCTTAGCGCCTTCAGCCCCAGGGAACTCGAGGACTCGAGCTCCCGTCTGGGCGAGGCGCATCCTGACCCCCACCGTCCCAAAGTCGTTGGCGAGGCTGTCCCGGGCCTTTTTGAAAACGGCCGCGTAGGACAGCCCGCCGTCCGCCGCCTCCGGGGACACGGTCACCACTACAGCCGCGGTTTTGGGCGGCTGCAGCTTCCGCGGCCTCTTTGTGGAGGCCGTTGCCACCGGTGGCGAAGGCTGGGCTTGGGCTGCTTTTTTGGCAGCCTTTTTGGCCCGCCTTCGGGACTTCTTGGAGCCCCTCGCCTCCTGCCAACCCTCGTTGGAGGGGGCAGGTGCGGAGGGGCCCGGCAGGGGTGTCGGAGTGGGGAGCGGAGGGAATGCCACTCCGCTCCTCGGCGCTGTTCTAGGCCCCGTCTTGGCCGGCGCCTGGGGATGCGCCCTGGCCGGCGCCTTAGCCGGTGCCTTGGCCGGCGCCTGGGCCGGTGCCTTGGCCCCCCTCCTCGGCTTTTGTGGAGCCGATGGAGTAGGGGCAGACGCCGCCGCCGCGTAAGAAACGCGGCCTCCCACAACGGGGAGCGCGGTCGGAGCGGCGGCCTTAGGCCGCTGTGCCGACGCGAGCGGGGGGCGCATAATCGGCGCAGGAGGCAATCTCGCCTCCAGGCCAGCCAGGCGTCCGTCCAGCATATTCCCAACTGCGATGAGGATTTCTCGCAGTTGGGAGTCAAATGCCCCTGAGTTGGTGGTAGGGGCAGGCTGGGACGCGGACGGGGCTTCCCGCTCGGGGAGGTTCGCCTGGAAGCGGGCGAACTGAGCGCTCAGCTCGTTCACCCGCTCCGTCAGCTTCTCGTTGGCCACCTGCAGGCGAGAGACGTCGCCCGCTAGGCCCTCCACGACCTCCGACAAAGCGGAGGAGGAGTCCTTAAAGGCCCTCACAAACGAGCCCTTAAGGTTCACGGATTTGGTGGCCACCTTGTTGATGACGGCCACCGCCGCTTTCGCCCTCTCCTGCACGGACACGGGAGCCTGGGGGAGATTTCCCCCCACCGGCTCCCGAACCTTGAGCAGGAGATCCGCGATCTCCTCCTCCGCTACGGCCTCGCCGTCCACTCGTACGCTCCTGTAGGACTCCGCGTTTGAGAACGCGGAGCCTGACGGGGTCGAGACCGAGGCCGAGGCCGGTTTACGCGCCCTCCCTCGGCGGCTGCTTGCCACCTTTGGTGGCATCATTTCGCCGGACGTGTCGGTCCCCTCCTCCCTGGAGCGTCCGCGTTTCCTGCTGTCGCTTCGTTCCGCCTCCATGGCCTCCGCGCCATCTGACGAAACGGCGGATCCAGAACGTATACGATCCGATGCTCTTCGGCTCCCAGTGACCAGAGTCAGACTGACCTCTGGGAGCCCCATCGAGATAGGCGTTCCTGACACCATCTCACCCTCAGTGGACGACCCATCCGCTCCACTGTTCTGCTTTTCCTTCCTTCGCTGTGCTTCCTTTTCCGTTAGGCTTGCCTGTTTTCGTTGTGTTTGTCCGATCGTTTTCTTTTGGTTTTTGTTTACAGTTTCCATAGTAAATCCCACGAGTGGGGGAGAACTAAAGGTCCACCCGGGCAGAGATCCCCCATTACCCGGGCAAGCGTAAGTTTTTAACCCAACCGAGGGGTCCGCAGGTACCTCGGCTTGGAGTGCGCTCGCGACTGAACTTCCCATCAGCCATGCATCCCCTGGCCACGCACCAGAACACGGGATTCGGGGAATTTTTTAGAGAGGTTATCTTCCTCGCGGTCCGGGCGGTTAAGCCAAGACCCTCGTCCCCGATCAGAGCCGCGAGACTTAACCACAGCGCTCTTCTCGGGATTACGATATGCCGACGGTTGACAGGGAGACTACGTCCCCCTACCTGCTCGGTGGTAGTGTGAGTACACGCCGAGCCCGTCCTCCTTTCTCCACCGCTATCAGCGGAGAAAACTGTGGCCCCTACAGGGCCCCGCCATCAGGTTTTTTACCGAGGTTTCCTCCTCCATGCTCCGAAGAGCGAAGAACCAGCAGGGCAACCGGCAGACACGCCCACCCTGCTGGACCAGGCCTTGCCCGAGAGCCGATGAACGGCTGCCTCTTCTGCTAGAATATTGGCCGCTGGCGATAATCCTCTCCTCCAAGAGGACAAGGAGGGAACAGTACCATCGCCAGCGTTTCCAGGGTGCACCACGAGGAGGTTTTCTAGCCCAGCACCCCAATAAATTTAAAACCTAACCTAACCCACTTCTTATCACTTGATATTCGGCGTCAAGATAGACTATTAAGCATATCCAAAGGAAAATTTCTGTACAAAAAGTAATGATATACATATATGATGGAATATGCGTCGTTGTCCACTTTGCCGTCAAAAGAATTGCAATTTATATGAGTGCCAAGTTCTGTGTATAAAATCCTGAAGTTTTAGTTACAAAAACATACAACATTCTGATATCAATGTATATAACATTTTTTTGTTGCTTGGTGCTACCACGACTTATTGGGTAATATAAATTCTTAAAATTTAACAGACAATTATTTACAAAATGCAATTCGTTCACTTGGGATGTGATTCAAGCTTAAAATCTGACTTGGCTAATTGTTACCAACAAACCAAATTTCAGAAAAGTAACATAGGTATTATATCAACCTAACAGTTAAAGTACAGTACAAACAAGAAATACTCTAACTTGCGAACGACTTAACGCAGATAAGTTCATAGCACTTAAATAGGATGGCATTACATCGTAATAACAACAACAATATATACATATTTGGATAGCATAGTTCACATATTTCAATAACATAACACAACACATCACATATTTCAATAGCATAGTGGTAACATAAAATAAAAACAATGGCATTAGTCGCGGTTATCAAGTAGATGTAACTTACTATACAGATATTAATATAATATAATAATATTTTCACACATTTCACACACGCTGTTGTCTGATCCCAAACTAGGCAAATTACTATATTATAATTATTTACGTTCCTTTCGGCCCACAAATCTAGCTCTATGAAACATAATTATAGTGCACGAGCTATACCCTGCCACGTTTCGTTGTGGCACATTGTGGTTGCAAAACATAGATGAAAAACCGAAGCGAAGCGTGTGGCATTTCGCGTCAAAATTTGAACTCATACGGTTCAGAACGTTAGAGTTTTTGAAGCGTACAGAAACCAACTTAACGTTTCCATATACATTTTTTTTTAAAGACTACTCACGCACTAGGAATAAATCCTGTGTCGCGAGGGGCTTTACAAACATACATGAAACGCACACAAAGGACACCCAGACTCAGAACAACAATTTGTGGATCACACAAAGTGTTGTCCCATGTGGGGATGGAACCCACAATACTCAGCGCAGTAGGAAGCGGCGAGGTGACCGCTTAAACCACTACGCTATACGTGCAGTCGATAGAACATTATTAAACATGCAAATAACATCGGCGAATAATCTTTATAAAAAAAACACACCCATAAATCGACAAACCAAATCGTTGCTGTGAAATGAACTTAACTTCACGAAAATTTAATAAACTCTCAAATTAATAGTTCAATATGCGACATTTGCCTAAATTCTAGCCATATATTATCCGCGGCACCTGTTCCAAAACTTCATCTCAAATACGTACTCGTACATGTATAATATTACATCTGTTTCTACTTATGAGTTACGAGCCAGCTTTTAGGCCGCACTCTCCCGGGGATACCTGACACTGCAAGCAGCTAAATGAAAATTTATGCCGCTTTCGCTATAAATATACTTATACGTTGCTATTTTAACAATAGCAAGTGATATTTGAGCCATCTGCAGCTTCTTGATAACATTCGACTGTTCGTTATTGAGTAAAACTAATAAACATTTGTCATGGGTGTTACCGATACATAGCACAGATTTCTCGATTTCTAAAAAAAAGAAATACATAAATTGTTAACTATCAAACTATACTTTAAGTTAAAGAGTTAGTAACTATTCAAACAATCACTAGTTTGTACATAAGAAACATTTCTACTTATTTTATTTCTAGTATGAGTTGAGTTTGCACAAACGATCTTCTGATGTTGATAACTAATACATGTTACCGAACCATGGTTTTGAAATAATATTTGAAAGTATAGCTTATATTAAAGATGAAGGCTGTAAGAACCTAAAAAATAAGAAACAAAAAAATAAAATGGGCATAATTTTATAAATTCGTTACCGCTTTCGTGCCTCAAAAGTTTTTGAGGCACCACTGTGTGCAAATTTTTTAGTCATTTTTTCAATAACGTGAAAAATGCGACGAAAAAAAAGTCATTTGACTTTCTTTATGACATAAAGAACCTTGAAGTTTCTGTAACGTATTGCAAAAGTTAACTGGGTCAAACGAAATTGGAAACCTCATCATAATCATATTTTAAACAAACTAACGAAGTATTATTATAATTTTTTCACTGTTTCGTAGGAGTTAAGAAAACAATAGTTATTAGTAGGAATAATTAATTCTATATTTGTATTTTCTTTGCTTTAGGATGAAGGTAAAGTCAGGCTTGCGTCTAGTGAGCGTGACAGCTGCGAATTCCCGGTGGGCAGTCACGGCGGAGGTGAAACCTCGGGCGGCGACCGTCACGGCTACCAGACTTGAACAGCCGCTGAGAGATGACGATGGCTCAGATCTGTAAGTAAATCACAATTAAAATAATAATATAATGCGTTGGACGTTTAGATTTTAAAGACTACCCCAATCTTGTAGTATTCCTGCGTACTTAGTGATCAGTGTAGGTGTTAAGTTTTTTAATAATAAAATGTTTAAATAACATAATATTTTAGATTCTAGCGAATGTCAATAACAAACAACTCACTCTGTAGATGTATAGTACACTTTAAACTCTTAACGGAATACTCTCAGTTTCAACACTATTTTAATCCTTGCCTCAATACACGGGAGTTTAACCTCTTAAGCCACTGCTCAGATTGCTAAGTTGAAGTTAAAGTTAGCTACAATTAGTGCTAGTTCCACTATGGAACATTTAGTAACTGCGTGTACTATTAAACTATATGACCTTCAAACGTGCATCTATAATAATCACTGAACGTGCTCTAAACAAGAGGTCATAATCAAAATGTAACTGCACGGATAGTACCATGGTGAACTAACTAGGTACATACGTGTGCGCTATTATATGTGCACCCCACTTGGGACTATTGAGGTTACTCCACTATTGCAGTTAACATTAAGTTAATTAACAGTTAATGTACCTTAACTATAATTTGGTAATGCCACATCAGCGACACACGCTGAAATCTATTTGCAATTACATTAATAAATTACTGTGAATTATTTTTTTCCAAATGAAAAATATGGACCTTGTGAAATAGATTAACCATAATAGGGATTTTTTTATGCCTATAGTTTTCTACATTATTTAGAGGTTACAGAAGTATTTCCTGTTTTGATCAATCACTGACTGGAGTTTAGTGAATTTGATTGCGTTCTGTTTATGTAGTTGAGCAGCTACATACATACTTAACTAAACAAACAATATGTTTTCGGAAACGTATTCTATAATATGGAATAAAGCTATTTAACGTTCTCTTAGTTAAACGATAAAATACTATTGCCGTTCGAGTGTGACTCGTAGAAAATGCTACCATTGGACCGGCGAGATGGACTGAAGAGATTTAAAGAATTCATTTCAATTCCTTTTTCATTTCATTTTACGATATGCGAATAAGTAGCAATCAATCTTGTATAAATTTCACGAGTCGGAATATTTTCTTCTGTTTTTGAATGAAGAATGTTTCTTGTACGAGTAAGTCCACCAGTAGTCCAGTTAGCATTAAAAAAAACAAGTACGTTAGGTACTTGTTTTTTTTAATGCTAACTATCCTTATCTTTTACCTATTTATAATTTAATGCATTGATCGTTCATAATGAACTGCTCATTTTAGCCATTTGTTGTAAGAAAACTTATTCCATTAAGTAAATACAGTCGCAGCCCTTATCTTATAAATTTTAGTCTCAATCTCCGAATGTCAAACCTTTCGTTTGTCGTCTGGACATTCAAAAGAACATTTATAAATTGTAAAAACAATATATTGCTGTATGTTAGGATAAAGCAGCAGAAAAGTCAAGATACATTCATATTAATTCATTATTTTTATTTGTCTCTCCAATTCTTAACGTTACTAAAAACGTACGTAAAACGAAAAAGTTTTTTACTAACTCTTTTACAACATTTTATTTCTCGTTTCTAAAGCAAGATTTGTTCACAATTTCTTTCACGACTACTTTGCATTTGCACAGCTATAAATTTAGCCGACGTTTTTCCGCTTAATGAAACTCAATGTCACAGGGAACATTATTGCGTAGGCAATTTTGTGTTTCTTATATAACAAACGAAACATATTTATCAATAATATTGTATTAAGATTATAAAATGTTATAAATGTACACTTTTATCTTAGGGACTCTGAGGAAAATAGCGGTGTTGGAGAGCCGGGGTGGGAAGAAATACTCACTTGGTTAGTGGAAGTAGGAGCTGAAGGCGAGGGTGACGGAGAAGGATCTGAAGGTGAATCGGGACGTGGAACTGCTCGTATTAGCTGGTCAGCTAAAGTGTCTTCTGCACCTACTACAACATCTACAACTGAAGACCCGCCCCACGAACATAGAGTCAGCACCCGGCTCGATATTGAAAAAGATGACATACAAGCTGTTCTGCCGATTTCTAAGGTATTATCAACAAAAAGTAAAAGCGATGACAGGCAGCATTAAAATTTTCTTGCTTATTATGCTACACAAATGAATCACTTAATTAACACTGAATTTATGAAAAGCTTGCCGAGGGTGTTACCGAGGGAATTTGTAATATAATATTCTTAATTAATATTTGAATGTTACACACAGCGAATAAACAGAGGCTTAAATTACAGTTCTCAAGTAAAAGTATAGAAGTAGTAAGTATAGTATAGTACTATAGTACGAATTTAGTATTTTTCTTGCTCTCTTAATAAAAACTACTCCTAATAAATGCGGATAGTGATTACAATCACGAAAACCCACTTGATTATTCGACTATTACTCGGACAGGTACCCGAAATCAACAATTTATAGAGACATCGATTGTAGCAATAAATTAACTAAAAGGTATTTTCTTAGTAATTAATGGCCTCGTGAGAGCCCCTTTTATTACTATTACGATATCTTTATTGGAAACTCAAAGGTTTTATTAGAATGGTTCATTGCAAAATTATGCTCAAAGAAATTTATACTTACTACGATCTGTGAAATCCAGACATGGAAATTTATTTATTTATGCATTTAAATTATTGGTACTTACTGTGTTTGATAATGCCTTTTTCACCACCTAATGTACCTACATATATCGTGTATGTATATATGTTAAGAAATTCGGCCTCTGCCGTTTTAAAATGTGATAATACTTATTCACTCTGTTACGAGAATGATTGTGAGAAGTCGATTGAGTTATATTTAAATGGGGCTCTTAAGAGTTATGATTTAACCTTTATTGCAAGCTAATGGATGATCGATGATGCCCACAGCGCAGTTCATAACTCCTTTTATTAATCTGTAAAAATATTAAAACACTGTTATAAGTATGTATTTTACGTACGTTCAGCGATCGACTCTAGAATTTAACTTAAAACATCATATTAAAAAAAATTGCTCGAAGCAACTTTGTCTGCTGTTAGTTGTTTAACGAGTTATCTTAGCTGTTTTTATAACAATTTCACTGTCATTATTCCGATCAAGTAAATTGGGAATCAAACGTGGTTAAGAACCAATATGTTTCAATTTTAGTTTCTATAGTATATGATGGTCTGAATACACTATTTTTGTATTCGTTACGGCGTCCCTTAAATAGCCTGTAAATGATGATTTATAACTAGTTTAAAAAGTTTAATTTAATAAATATTCTATTTTCAAACCTTAATTCGTAATCCAATTTACTTTAATCGCCTTCTTCTTTGCAAAAGTCTACATCAATCACAGTAACAAATTAAGGTTAAAAAAAATCTTTTTCAAAACCAAATTATTCAATGTAACGTTTGTATTAATCGTTATTTTCATTTAAAACATCTTGGCTTTCTACCATTTTGTATTTACCACAATTCTGCGTTAATTTAATTTAAGGCATTCCAATTCAATGGATTCGGCTTAGAGACAGACAAATACATTGTTACACGTTGTCCGCATCGTGTGTGGTCTCGGGTGGGGCTTTTAATAAAGTTACCGTATAATATTTATAAAGCAATTAGTTTATCTCAATATTAGCGTGGAGCTATTAACTCTGGCCCGAAGCGTTCGTCGCTTGGAGCTCGCTAGAGTGGGCCTCTTCATATCTGCTTACTGACGGCTGAACGCTCCCTCCTTGTCTGCCGCCCAACTAGATGATTAAAGCAATTAAACTACGACATGAGTGATGGAGTGTTTTACGTACAGCATTGTGTTTGTAGATTAATAGAAGATGGATCTTATCAGGCGAATGAATTACGCATTGAATGTGATGTCGCCTTTAAAGCTCGTTTGATTAGACGTAGGTAATTACTTTGGGATCAAAGGCCCTTTAGGAAGCAAATAATACTCAACTTGTTTTACTTTGCCTATTCATTAGCACTCATACTCGTACTCCTAATATCATAGTGTATAACGCTCATCCTTATTTTTAGCGACGATGCATCCATTGACCTACAATTAAAGTATTTAATTAACTGAGTATTAAAATTCTTAGGATATTTGGAGAGTAAAGTAAACTTAAATTGAATTTCAAAATAATTATCCGATAGTACAGCGGCTTCAAGGACTAAAAACTAGACGAAAATTATCGATTTAGTAACGTTTCGCCCGGCAGCTAATGGTTATTAAGGGGTAAAAAAGTAACATTTATTTGTTGCTGTATCGGAATTTTTATTACATTTATTAATTCAGCGTTTGAGTTGTTAATTAATAAATAACGAACCTTGGACTATTAAGTAGTTAGCGGCACCTAACTGAATGAAATAAATATAATTAAGAATCTACATCCATATCCATATTTGGTAGGCGAAGGCATAATAAAATACAAAGTTTGTAACTTTGATCCTCATTTCACTCATATTTCGCACTCAGAACTGGGAAGTGCTGAATACTGCTGTGCTGACGGGAAGACAAGTGTCCCAGGCTATGAAGGTGCTCATCGTGTCGCAGGCTGGTCAAGTCGCCGATGTTACTCTGCAGAGCTCCTGCCATTCAGAGGATGAGAGCGTACTCAAAGTAAGACTTATGGCGATCAAATATAATCAGATAATAATAACCCATTAATTGTTTTAATTATGATGAATTGTTTTAACTCCAAAGCATACAACGCTAACAATTAGCCTCGCAAAAAACATATTTTGACTAATTCAAGAGCTCATTCATTATTATTTACACAAAAATACACTATATATACATTTGCGTGATATATACGCACGTGGTTAAGTCACATTTCACGTAATAACGTGAAATGTGACTTAACCGCGAATCCTCGCTGTGACTAGACTTTGAAGCTTCTTCTTGCTTATGTACGTTTTTCTCCCTTAACGTATTCAGAAATACAAAGACCATAAGAATCAAGATGCACACAAGGTCAAGTAGTAAGCTCCTGCTGGCGTTTCTATCGAAGAATTGAAGCCATCTTTATTAACAGAAACAACAACAGTAATCTTCTGTTCCCTTTTATACTTTCTGCCTTTTTTACCATTAGGACGGTACTGACTACACAGAATCTTAATTATCAAGAGAGAGAAAACATCTTAATGAAAAAAGCCGTTTTTCCGCGAACAGGTATCTTCTTCATGTAGCTCCGTATACGTCGATGGATCAGAAATTCGTGGTTCGTCAAACGCATCAGTGATCGTCAAATACGGCACGTACACTGGCCTGGCACGCTTTACCGTCTGGATGCCTGAATACCCTCTTGAGATCGACGTTGACGACAACCGCCTGTCCCAGATTAAAGGTGAACATCATTAGTGCTAACGATTCTGCTCCTAATCGATTCATTAGTCGAATCTCAGACAAGTATTCAAACCCTCAATAGCTATCTACTAATAACTAAAGATCTATGAATGATTTGATTTAAACACAATTTGTTAAGATCCAAGTTAGTAATTACAATAACTTAATTGTGTTAGCGATCGAAATACTGGGTGTTAATTCACAGTACAGATCTGCAAATTATGTTTAAACAATAGCGACATCGGTAGATAGATGTGTTTGCTTTCCTGGTAAGCATCAATGAAAGGCTGTCAAGTGTCATGTTGAATTTAGATTTATTATCACGTAAATACAAAAGTAGCAGATACATTTAATATTTAATAAATAAATAACTTATTATTTATATTAAAAATAACTAAAAATGTACGGTAGTGTATTTCATAGGATAAGGTAACTATGTTGGAAATAAAATTCTGAGAGTGACATATATTCATAGCTTTCAGAAATATTAGGTAACATGTCTTTTACTTAACAATAGTTATAAATTGTATAGTAAAAAGTTTTGTGTTCATAAAAACAACATTTGAAATTAGAAATTATTGAAATTTGTCACGCTATTTTTAAATTCTAAAAGACGATGCCTTTTAACTGCCTTCGTCTATTAACTGAAAACGGCATTTCAAAGTTGTTTATACCACTGACATTAACGGAAATAGACGTCGTAGCTCTATTTTCCTTCCCGCGCGAATTGGATGTAAAGTGGCGGTGTCATTAGTCAAAATTATTTACATTTGATACTTTTGTCTAATTAACTACTTGAATACTTTTTGTTGGAGCATGACAGCAAACAGAATTTCATAAAAATTATGGATATGTCTAGCTGTAGATGTCTTCGTCTTATTCCACGCTTAAATGATGATGATGAAGTAATTGATTGCATAGAGATTATTCTCAGCCGTCTTATTTCTTAATCCTGGTACATTATTCTCTTTTGTATTCCTTGAATAGTTTTTATTTATTTGTTGTCATGCAAAAAATGCATTGCCATAGTGTTTAAATTAAGTAATCACCCGCAGGCTGGAAAGTCCCTGATGACGCAAACACTAAGGACAGAGCCAAACGTTCGTTATCGGCAAGGGGTTGGGGCGGCGCCAGACCTGACGCCACCAACTCGCTCACTGAACAGCGATCGTGCCGACTCAGATATCAGCAGAGTAATGTTGAGGTTCGTATATTTACTATTGAGCTATTCAAAATTTAATTAGTATTAGAGTTAGTATTTTAATAAAGAAGCAAAAAACATTATGTTACCTTCGAGTGTCGAAAAGGTAACATATAAATTGTTATGGTTTATTTAACAATATCTCAGGTCGAATTTCCTTGAATAAAGTAATGACAAAGTTTTGATAGCCTAAAACCGATACCATAAATATTGTGTTGATACTACTATACAATCGTAATGTATATGCGCTATTTGCGTATACACTATTTCAGTATTCGTTACGATGTCCCTTACACCGTGTATATATCACATCAGGTCTTAAGTCTAATTGCAGAAATGTAAGCCAAAGTAATAATATAATTAAGACAAAGTTTATGGATGTTTACTAAGACATGTAAGTCGTGAAATGGTGGTTTATATCAAAATAGCTGTCTTATAAGTAGGAGCGCAAGGTCTTCATTGGCAATTAATACAATGTCATATAATGACATATTGGCACGACCTAAACAACTACTATTTCTCTTCATCCCTATAGGTTTACGCACGTTTTTTGGCCAAAGACCACGACTCGGGCCGTGTCTCATACTTTGTGTCGCGCCGTACATGGTTGAAAGTGACTGAATTAGTACTGACGAGGGTGTCAGATACACGTATTGCGACCTTGCGAGGCCGAGTGTTACAAGGAAGGAGTACAGGTCGGACTGAAGTGCAAGTGCTGTCACCAATCACTGGTAAGTTTTATAATTTTCTTTAAGCAAAAATACATCGTGCTTGTTTCCCTTTTGCTTGAACTGGATATAAAACCAGAAGGTCCAAGGATTGTAAACAACTAGTTAGGGAAAGGTGTACCAAATAATAGGTATTTGAGGTTCGTTGCAGCGTTTCCACTGCTTCAATCTCTTATTAACAGTAAGAAGCGTTGTCACAGCAAGATCACAGGGCATTTATTTAGTTATTCCGCGAACAAGTTGTCGTTACCTAGCATTTAATGCTAAGAGAATAAGTTTGAAGAATTACCTCATTTTTACACGGGGATTAAAGAGCATATAGACGATTTTTTTTTAATTTTATTAATAAATACGTATGTATTCATTGCCTGCATATAACCGTCTAAAATAATTTATTTCTTTAACAAGTGCCTCACCCCAATACCACCTTTGTAACATATTGTGCTTAGCAGCTGTTGCGAACCGTTAGTAAAAAATCTCCAGCGTTGTTGGTGCTTGTCGTGCCCGCGTAGCATTCCACATTACATTTTGTTTATGTAATACTGATGTTGGAAGCGACACGGCCAACGTCAAGATGGGAGACTTGGATACGCCTATCATCAACGCCTTTAATAGGCCACTGCTGGACATGGACCTCTCCTTAGAAAGGAGATTGTACCCATAATGTACCTAATATGTATATCCCATAAAACACTTAGGGTGAAAAACGGAACAGAAAAATATTTCTATACTAATATCTCAATTATCAACTGATCAACCTAATAGTCTTGTATGTTAACTTAAATGATTTTTTTTATTTAATTTATAGAAATTAAATGCCTTGTAAAAAAATCTAACAAATAAAGGTTTCATTCCTGCCATGTCAGCTCTCTCGCTAACGAAATATAGCTTTGTAAGTAAACTTCCATGTCTGTGGACCTCTGATAACATGTTAGATAGTGGTTTTGATTTTGCTCTAATTTTCTCGTTGCAAAAAAAATTGGAAAGATATTTAAGGTCTCTTATCCATGTACCCACGACACATAATTATGTATTTCTCATATTTGTTATGGTAAAAGAATTAAGAGGTACCTATATTCACAGGTCGAGTAATTGGACTCCGTGAAGTTCGTGTGGGCAACGACAAAGTTTCCATTTCAAGACTACTGGTCCGCGTTATATCTGGGCTTCAACTAAACATTTCTCCAGATACTGCTATCGAAAATGGATATGTCTCAGAAACAACTGTTACAAGGCGACTTACGGCGCAATATCAGGTAAATAATCATTTTAAAATATTCTCCATCGTCAGATTTATCTTCGTTATTATATTTTCAGGATTTTTATTATGGTCTACTGACTTATTTCGAAATAAGATACCAAATAAATAAATGCTACTGCAACTGGTGTGGCCCTTATGCGTTGTCAATTCTTTCCTAATTCTCTTGCGGTCTTCCACAGTCAGGGGGCTGTTATTTAATTCAGACCATTCACAACTTTTTTTTTCTACTCTTTATTTTACATCTACATTACTCCATTTTTCTTCTATTTGCTCTGTACCTCAGTACTTTGAGCTCGTACTTAACAAAGTAGGAGTTCATTTTGAACTCACAAACAATTTTTTGTAAACCAAGTCGATCCGAGTCGAGGAAAACTTTGATTTTACATCCCATAAGCTACTTTGCAAGGGTTTCCATAGGCCGATCCTATAGGATTCGCTAACAATTAAAACTTTTCACAAGTTTCTATAATATTGACGAACGTGAATAAAGATTAACCAAAAAAAAGGATTGAAAGATTAAAAGGCAACGTTATATTAACCCTCGCTTAACAGAACGTACGAATACTACAGAATGATTCACGACAATAGGGCTCTTTACATAATGCATCATTTATCCATATGGGCTGAACAGCCCATCATGGTTATCACAACCCCCATGAGATATCTTGCTGGATGCATCTCATAAATTAAGCTTCTCTTGTAATCCTTCACAAAGATTACGCTTTCCCGATACTTTGACCTATATTTTCCTGGCACTTGGACCAGTCATAATTTAATAAGACAACGCTCCACTTTGTTTCTTTGAACAAAGTCTTTATTCGTGAACTTTTCAAAAATTATCTTACATGTGTTATAGACGTAAAGTTGAGCCTGTAAAATGAAAATGATCACTTAAACAGCTTGGTGTTCAAAAGATTGACGGTAAATAATAATAAACTTTAACAGTTTCCTTAGAGCTATAAATATACAAGGTTTTAGATAAAGGTCACACCTATAGTTACCGTTTTTTTTTTTTCCGTGCGGAAATCCTCTCGGATACCACCTGTCGGTGGCATGTCGGACTCGAACCGACTAAAACCACACGCCGTCTCGGGTACTAATAGCCGGGGAACCAGGTATACCCTAGAAAGGAAGTCACCTATATAGTTACCCTAACTCCCAAACTAAGTGTTCCTGTGACTTGGAACTCAGTGTTCTGCTGTTACAGAGACAGATTTATAGGTTTTAAAGGTTAGAAATATAAAGCGGTGTGTTTGTGTATAGATATGTTTCTGTTCGCGCGAAAATGTGTATGTGTGTAGTTAAGTATAAGGATATGCTTACTGCTGGAGTTAAAGTAGTCCTTCAGTTTGTCCATAGTCTAAGGATGTAATATGTGTCATAAAAATACTAATGACATAAAATTATCAACAGGCCAACGCAGTTCTCTGGTTTGAAATGAAGAAATGCGTAGGAATATTTCTTATCCTCTGTAGGACATTTGACACAGTTTCTATTTAATTTTAGGAATCTTCTCGTAACAGTAGATGTTAGAGGAGATGCCTTATAAATTTATACTGTTTTTTTTGCCGAAGTATCATAGTGTTGAGGCTTTCTCAGGGGAGCATCTTGGTCCCTCTTCTTCTTACGATTTCTCTTCATATGAGCTTTGCAATCTTTCGTTGTCAAATTCTCCTATGTACGAGTATTTACACACTGTACTCTAAACTAGTACGACACGGGTAAAAGCAATAATTATAATGTTGCCAAAATAAAATGTTGAAAAAACTAGCCAACCTCTGGAAGAATTAACAACAATTAAAACCAATACTTGTTCAGACAATACAAATTTGACAGAAAGTATTAGAATTTTATTTAGATTTTGTAAATATTTAATATTTCAGGAGGGACTTTTGGATATAGACCTAGAGTTTTCCGACGGTAGTCACACAGCATTACGTGATGTATCCGTATCAGACTATTTCTTGGTTGTGGAAAGCCTTGATCCAGAAGTAGTCGCATTTGCACCGATGTACGCAAGCAAGCATCCAAGGGTCATTGCTGTTGGTGAAGGTACGTTGAGTTTTTCTTAAACTTAAGTCCTGTTAAGCTTTATTTCCAATACGCGCTATTGTAATCATCATCATCAATCAACTAGTACGACAGTAGCCTTTAATAGTCCACTGCTGAACATATGCCTCTCTTTAAAAATGAGGTATTAGCCTACTATACCATGCTGGCCAGACGGGTTGGTATAGAATTTGTGTCAAGTTTTCCTTCTATTTGCTCCCTTAGTCGACTTTTACGACAGCCACGGTATGAATAGGGGTGGCGACACTCCATATTCTTAATTCGTAACAACACTGATAACGCGCTAGTAATCATTTATTTATTCCAGCATAAATCTCATGATACTATGTTTAATTACACATTTTCATTTTCGGAAACTCATGTTTAGGCAATTTATACTCATTTACTAAAAAACCAGTAGGTACATTGAAGATAAATCAAGTAAAGCTATTTATTTATCATTATATTCAGACCAATTTATAAGAAATTTTCTACGCATAACTTTAAACTCATAGCTTTTGAAAGTATTCAGCAACTAACGTTATATCGAGAATTAGTTACAATTAATACTCTATCACTTTTTTCAGGGAGCGGTGAACTTCTCCGAGTAACTCTTTTAACTCCCGAACAATGTCGGAGCGGCCCTCTTCGGCGAGTAGCCTTACCAGGGAAGGGCGATACAAAAACGCCAGCTAATATCAAAAACATTCCTGGCGCAATAGCTACGGCGGCCGCTAGTGTAGACGTTGACTTCAGCGGTGGAGACGCTCCTCAGAGACCAGATACGCCTCAGAACGATGATATCATGGCCAGAGGTGGATTGAGAAGCGGCATGGCTGAACTTGGAGATATCCTCAAAGGTACAATATTTGTTTTGTTCTAACTTCTACTACTAAACTAAATTATCTGTGCTTATATCTCTGAAGATTGGCTATTGGCAGCCTAATCACATCAACAGCTCAAATTCAATTATACTCCTTGTTAATTTCTTATCTTATTATTATTAGTGATGAGATAGATACGAATATCTTGCACATGACTACTTGCGACTGACTTCCGTAAAGAATATACACATCAGTCTCATTTTTAACCGACTTCAAAAACACAAGAGAGGAGGTTATCAATTCGTCTGTATTTTTTTTTTTATATTTTTTTTTGTGTATTTGTTACGTGATATTTCCATCAATTGTATACCGATTTTCAAAATTCTTTTTGTAATCGAATGGGTGTGCTCCCGAAGTGGTTCTATTACCACCAAATCAAGATCTGATAATGGGATCGTAGAGAAATCGAGGGAAACCCTATAGTCGGTTCAACTTTTTTTTACCGCATTTATAAGGAGTTTTTGCTATCTGTGTATTTTTATAAATTTTTATCATAAACTAACTGGTGCCCGCGGTGGAATTTGAAAAGTACTGACTTAGTGGAATTCCCGGACCGAACAAATTTTTTTAGGGTTTTTCAGAGAGAAAAATAGCCTAAGTTACTTCTTATATAGACAGCTACCTGGTGGTTAATATTATTAAAATCGGTCCAACCGTTTTGAAGATTACCCGGAATAAACAGACAGACAGAGAAATATTTAAACTAGTTTTTAGGCATAGGTATCGTGCAAATAACCGTGTACCCATAACATGAAAAAACCTATTATTTTTAAATTACAAACAGACTTTAATTTTATTTACTTGTATAATTTTGTGGTTTCCTTGATAGTTTTTTTTTTATATAAAAGAGTTACAATGCAATTTTCCTACATTTGCTGTTTCAAAACCAACTAAGATAATGTTGTCATGCCACAAAAATATGCCTATAAATTGACGTACCTATGTAATATACCTAACCTGGGAAATGGAATACAGGCATTAAATAAAGCTTTTGATAGTTTTTTTAATAGGTATTTTCCGACTTAAAAAAAAGGCAGGTATATTTGTGTATTTTCATAAAATGAGATTCCACGTATAATTAAAAATAAGTATGGAGAAAGAACTAACGAGCTAATAAAGTCGTGCTGTTTATATCGGTTATATTTTTGGAACTAAAAGGTTTTTCTTCTCTTTGGTATGCCTATAACGTTACCTGGTAAATTAAAAATAATAAGTTTGTAAGAATTGTGCTACATGCTTATTTCATTTCTCCGCCGCATAATCTCAAGATATAAAATAAATTTACTAAAACTTTAAATAACATTTTGTTTTGCAGGGTATCCATCGTTCAAAGACGAAAGCAACCACGAGCCTACGATAGCGCAAGCTCAGCAGTATAATTCAATCTTCCGCAGCAACACGGCTCCGCACCAGCAACACCAGAGCGCGCAAACTTCTGTTGTCATTGGTAAGATTGCTTTTTTATTTTCTATAACTTAATGTTTAAATGTACAGTTATTTATTAAAGGAGGATTAATATAAATGTCTATATCATTTTTGATCAGATTTATTTTTATTTTTACAGGAATATATGTGGTGCTCGGTGCGTTCTGTTTCGCAATAGTGGTTAGTAAATTACTTGTACTTAATTAATGATATTATCTCTAGTAGGTATATTATCATATAAATAAACCGGTTTGAATAATCTAGTATATACATTTTACACACTGATTAAATGCCCGATTCTAACTTAATTGCAAAAAGTGACATTGAAAGAACAAGTATATCTAATAAATCTAATGTATTAATCTGTTTAAGGGGAACCTTTTTATAAACCTATTACATTCATATACACATCATTTGGAGTACCAAAGTTCTAAAGTCCCCAAGCAAAGAGATAAACGATAACCATCAACCAACTCTATATCATTAGATAAATAGATAGATAGGTAGGCACTCTTTATTGCATATCATGAATAGGAATTATACAATGTAGAATACAAAAGAAAACAGTAGTACAATGGACGACCGTATCATCATTAACATGTATTTCCATAATTTCCTGCAGGTGTTCGTGGTATCCTGTGTCGTTTACGCCTCCCGTGTCAAGCCAACTGGCATGGACCGTGGAAATAGCAACGATCGTAATATGCCCGCAGTAACTGAAGGCGGGCGTCTTCAAGTTGCCGGACTGGTCGGCACTACCCTAGGGCTTGCCAAGGATAAGCCGTCACGGGAGTCGACTACTAACGCTCATGATTGGGTGTGGCTTGGTAAGATTACACTCATAAGTACTTTATTATACTTAGAAGTTTCATAAAACAATATATAATATAGATAAGTATTAGCACTCCTTTATTCGGTTATCCGTTTGTTTGTTCGTCCCCTCATTACTACAAAATCCTGTATTATATTACATCACTTGACAATTCAAGAATCATAATATCGTAGCATGAACGGCGGCCAGTCCAACAATCGGAAAGTCTAATCTGGAGCAAGTGTCATTACTGCTGATGCTAGTGATTTAATTTGAACGAAACGTTTTAGATATTTAATGATATGTACAATAAGTTTGTCCGCTTTTATACCTAACAATCAAATAAAAAATTAAGCTTTTAATTTTCCAGGTCGTGCAACTATCGAACGCAATGGCAACCGTCACCCTGCAAATCGAAACTCCACGCAGCAGACGGAGAACAGAAATCAAGAAATGAGAATTACCGGCAACCCTCTCAATTACAATTACGTCGACCCTGATGATGCAATAAGAGATAACGGAAACGTCATGGTTACAAGTTTTGACAATCCAAACTCGATTGAACTGCCTTCGCAAAACGATAAGCGAGAAAAGGTAATTGACTCCACGACATACTGCAAGAAGCCCGGTCGACATACAAGACACCATTCCGGCGATGGCCAGTGGCAGTAAGTACTTTTTGCAAGTTTAGTTTATGTTTACAACTTTGTTTTGTTTGCAATAGTGATAATATCGGCATTCAAACTAAATTTGGCCTCACGGTCCCAAACTATAAAGAATGCATAATCTCGAAAACTTGTGCTAAACTAAGTAACTAACTAACCTTCGTGACAAGTCGATATGGCAGGTGAGACGGTAAGGGACCTACGTTCACACCAGTACAAGGCTTTTAAGGCTTTTTATACATTTTGATCCCGCTTATGTTGCTGCTTGATGTCATGTATTAAAACAATTACTTTGGTTGCTTCTTGGTAATCGGTTAAATGAACAATAAACCACACTCTGAAACGAATAGTAGGCTGAAACCTTCTGTCCAAAGAGAGGCTTTTTTTTTTCCGTGCGGAAATCCCCTCGGATACCACCTGTCGGTGGCATGTCGGACTCGAACCGACTAAAACCGCACCCCGTCTCGGGTACTAATAGCCGGGGAACCAGGTATACCCTAGAAAGGAAGTCCCTGGTGCCCCGGCATACCTCGGGTCATCTACAGACGAGTAGACGAAGTCCTAAACCTCTCCCGGTCCCGCTCCGCCGTCTCCTTCGCGAGCATAACTTGCTCGCAGAAGGAGACGGCAGAGTTCCACGCACTCTCGCTCCGGCTATTGAGTAGATCTAGCCATAAAAGTATTAGAATATTGTAACAGTCAACGAAAAAAAGTTGTTATAAATATCCTTTCAATCAGACGCTTATGTTCCATACCCGCTAATCGAAAAGAGTTAAATTGAAATCAGTAAGACCAAATTAACAATTAACGCCCATGACACTATAAAGAATTTTTACCTGAATTGAATATTGCAAAAAAAAAATATGGAAAATGTGTTCTAATAGTTTATCATAACAATAAGAAAAATCAGTGACGAAGATTCCTTCCATACTTGAAAAAGCTGGTAATACTTATTTGTAGTTCCTTTTTATTGTGTACCAAAATGAAACACACATTTATCTGGTATGTGAGTATGAAATGTCACATCCGATGAAAATTGTTATGTCGACCTGTCGCAAACAATATAATACACAATCATCAAGTTTCATGCATGTAGATTGAAAGTAGTTTTCACTGTGCATTATTGTAATAATTATGGTATAATTTACTACTCTTGGTCTACAGGATGGAGGGCACAAATCCAGACGACTACCGACCGCCTGTCCCGCCCCATAGGAACTCGTCAACACCACAGCAACAATTGCCAGTTCCACCCCGAAACCCGAACAAAGTAAGATGAGCCATGATTCAGTATATTTTAATTAAAGTTGAACAATTAACACGACATGTTCCATGTGTATGTCTTTATTCGCAAACATGCTAAAAGAATATAAAAACAATTAATACAATACAAACAAATAACAATATTTCCAGATTTTGCCCGACACCGTTATGCCACCAACCAGACGGAATCACTCCCGGCATCAACCGAAGAAACATGACCGCGATTACGAATCCAGACGATCTCCAGAGAATGGCCACCGCACAGACCGGTAAATACCTACCTACCTCTTTTTTAATAAAAGAAATACCTACTAACAAATGTATAGGTCACAAAATGTACGCTCTATCTCTTTATTAAAATTAACTCTGTGCCATTGGAATAATTACCAACATTATCCCAAATTCGATTAGCATACAACAGCTACAATTTACCTAGTAACACTATCTAACATATTCTAGTATTCTGATTTGCAAGTACCTACCTAATGAGGTACACTCTAGTTAGAAATACTTTGTTAAACAGAAATTATAAGTGAAATCAACTTTGATAGTCGTTAAGTCGTCGGACATTTATGTTATATGTACAACGATGTATCGTGTTTGTGTAAGAGCCCTTTGGTATATTTGAGCTCCACCGCAGTGATCGGTTCAATCGACCGGTTCAAATAAGATGACGGTTAGTTTTTTTATCTTTCAGAATTATTGATTTAAACAAATTGGACGCCCCTTACCTATTGAATCGAGATATGAGAGATTACAAACGCGAACCAAACCCGGCCCTTCTTAGAAATGACCTCGAAGACAATCCAGTTGAAAATCTGACAGACAAAGATGATTGTGCACGACTATTTGAATTCGACAACGATGCGCCCCTCGTCATGGAGAACAAGGACTACAGAGAAATCGTCGGCCTGAACAGAGGCACTGACGACTCGAGACGTACATTCGCCAAACCCGAAAGCCCCGACTATATGCACGACTCTGGAATCGGTTAGTGGTTATTCACGGTATTTAAATCTGCCTCGCCTTCCAACGAAATCAATTACATGAGTTAAAACTTTAATCTGTTTAGACTTCACGTATGGCGTAGTGGTCGCCACGCCGCTTCCTACTGCGCCGAGTGTTGTGGGTTCAAACCCCCACATGGGACGATACTTTGTGTGATTCACAAATTGTTGTTCTGAGTCTGGATGTTCTTTGTATCCGTTTCATGTATGCTTGTAAAGTCCGCCGCGACACAGGATATGTTAATAATGCTAGAATTAGACGCATATTGCTATGATCAATGATTTCTGTTGTCTTTGTCTCACTGAAACGGAAGCTCGGGCAAAAACTGACGACCGTTCAGGATGCAAAAATAAATATGTATTGGCAATCATGAATAAATAATTTATTTTCATGAATATTGATGATTTATAATTTTTTCCAGGCCTACCTGAAGTACAAATGAGGCACAAGAATAGATCTAAAGAGTCGAAGGGCGATTTCGTAGAGGCCGCTAACAAGAACAAAGGTAAGATTTAAATTATAGTCAGATCTTTGAGGAATTTCGATTAAAGTTCATGATTTTCTTTTTGAAATAAAAATATCGTGCCCACTGTTAGAAATTGCAGAGCAGGTGCAGAGCTCCTAGACTTGATTTCTATGTAGGGTTAGCTTCAAATCAGGGCCACTACGAATGCTACCACTGTTTATTCTTAAGGCATTCGACAACTTGAGTTAGTCTGTTATGTGTATGAGTACATCTACTCTATAAATGTACGTAGTGGTACGTTGTAACACACGACTTGATGCGCAGGGGGTAGCTCACCAGAGGTGAAACGCGCCACGATAGTGGGCAATCCGATGTTCTCTCGCGGGGAGGAAGGCGCGCTGCCGCCCAACGCGGACTTGCTCGGCCTCGACGACCTGCACATGGACTACGATCAGATCATGCATTATTTCCACAACCTCAAGGTATAAACCGCACACACCGTCCCACCATGCTTCTAGTGTAGTGTTGCTGTCGCTTGCATCGATACCCGCTCCGCGCCCGTCACCGGTCACCGCGCGGTCTATCATATCTGTATCGTGTCTCGATGTTGGATGTACTTTCTTATGAAACATAGAGCCTCAATTTTGATGCATTTAATGAAATTAGGATAATATTTTATATGAGTACTTACATTTTATATGACTATACATATGAATGCCGTGCAGTATTATAAAACTTAATTTTAATTAGTAAGGTTCATCATAAGTACCTACTCATTATTTCACACCCTGCAGCAAATTCGAATTTTCGGGTGAACGCCTTGACACAACATTCCACTTTTCACCTCTCTGAAATCGTTATTTATTTTCTCATCAATGTAGAATGCTAGAAAGCTGATTGTTACCTACCACTAGCATAGAAAGTAGAGTCTAACTTCACGATTAATCTTTTAGAAAATCTTATAGACTTTGCTGCAGAATCTGATATACTTATGTATTTTCAAATTTTTCGCAGGAATCAAACGCCTGAGTAGAGCAGATCATTGCAAAGATCCGGCAGATATTGTCTACGTTTAAATATCAGCATATCATCAAAGCTCCTCCGATCGACGTATACAATGCACCCACTGTTACGTCCGGGGCAGCCGGGCTGGAGGATAGTACTATTGACACTCACAACAACAACACTTATACGAGCTACGAGCACATATACGAGAATGTTAACAACGGAAATGTAGTCGCACCTACACAAATGCTTTGCGACTCCATCGCTCATAAAAATAGCTTCATGAAAAGACAGCTCAAGTTCTTATTGGAGCACCTGAGCGAGGCGTATGAGTAAAGTTGTTGAAGTCAATGTATTATCCTCAAAACAATATGTGTCTAAAAAGGGATCCTTGCAGTGATCGAAATCGAAATTATACAAATTGTAACTGTTTTATACATAATATTATCGTTAAACATATTTACTCTAGTCATCTACAAAGCTGCACATATTTAAAGTACCTAATAATGATGAATTGTGTGCATGTAGTTAATACTCATATGTCAATAAATATAATAAATATTACTCACGCGTTTCGTCTGTATATTGATATTTTATTGATATTGTTGTCACCTTGTGTAAACAACGGGCTAATTTTTGTGTAAACTCAAGGCCGTGCATCCTTGCCTGTCTTGCGCTAAAGGGACACGCGTCACTATGTAATGTTCCCAAACCAAATAAAATAACGTTGCATTCGTTCTCGATCTGTACATATTTTTCCACTAGAAGGTAAAAACGCTACCTCACTTTTGTCTTAACTTAGAGCTTAGCTAATGTACGCGAGATGAAATGTGAAAATCCAATATTTTGTGAATGTCTGGTTGCTAAATCACTTTCATTTCGCTGCCTACTATTTATTGGATAATGAACACAACAGTTATTGTATTAAGACTGCAAATCGCCAGTTTCTAGGGAATATAGTATGTAAGTATAGTATATAAGAAATACAGAACTAGTCAAATATATTATTCTTATAATTAATCTGAGCTAATTTATTTGCTCAATTCTATATTGTTCCACACGTACAGAAATGGCTTTATCGTCTTCTAGATCTGTTGTCGGAGTATTTTCGACACGTAAGTGTATTTAATTGTAAAATATATCATTCAGTTGTTGAGATTAATTTTGTTTCGTTGACTGATTGTATTTTATTTATTTACTGATATATTTTCAGACGTTGATTTTAAAAACATTGATATTAACAACAGTTTACAGTAAGATATCGCTAATGAACTAACTGTTAACTTTGTATGTATTTCACAAATCTTTTACAAATATGTATGATTTTAAAGTTGTGATAAAATGACTGCAAGGGATTGATTTTGTATGCAGTCGATTTTATAAATAAAAGGCCATATCATATACCTATAATAAATCTAAAGCTTGTATAATATTGTAAGCACATGATTAATTTATTGAAAATGTAAATTGCATTTACTTGTAAGTTAGTAAGTTAGGCTTTGTAAATATTGTTATGAGTATGACGTTATATAATTTATAGGTACTTATGTGGATATGACAATGCAGAATAGAAAATATATGTGGTAGAAGTCGCTTAACATATTGGACAGAGTAGAGTTGCACACAATATCATGAGATGTTTCATGTCTGTTATGATTGTACACTAAATAGTAAATGTTTTATCTTGTATTGTGTATTAATGTGACCCTAAATGTATTAATAGGAGCCAGATTACTGAAAATGTAACATTTTTATAGCAACGATATAAAGCCTGTGTTCTCTGGTTCTGAACACGCTTGTACTATCAAAATTTATAAGTGATTAGTGTTGCAACTCCTGTTTTGAAGTAAAAAAGTAAAATCTATTAAATTAAGCAATCTTGTCCATTATGGTCATCTTTGAAGATTTGTCGGTAGGTGTTTTACCGATAGCTATTGACAAGGAGTGACTAAAGAGATTAAATACGCTGTCTATAGAGTACAGACAATTTCATACGATCATAATCATAAATAACCGCATACGGCACGTCAAGTATAAAAAAAAAGTAAAACAGGGGTGGCATCCCTACTTACGATATTCTCTAAAATACTAAATAGCGTGTTGTTTGGCTTTTGTCGTTAGGTTAGGGATGAGTCATAAGACACTAAGTACTCTACGCTGTAGTATTTGTTACTATAATACTATTTGTTTTTGTTGAGTTTTTGCTATAATTGTAAGAAAGGAGTTTATAACATAATTATTGCTACAAGGGTTAATACATGTACCTATGCAAACTGAGGCTTGTCACGAGAATCCTTTCATGAAATGTCAAATTTAATAAACCATTATTAATTTTACCGAGTTTTATATTATCTAATTCCTGACTCTTTAAGGCTGTCGAATTCGACTTGACCGTGGGAGAGTAATGCTTCGGCACAAATAGGCCGGCGTGAAACCCGTGTTAAGCATTCTTTCATTGCTTTTCACCGAGTGAGTGAGATTACCGGAGTTCAACACCTCTTCTGGGGTGGTATTGCACTTGCGGTTGAATCGAAGTATCATTTTGCAGTCCTGACTTTTATCTTTTATAAATTTATCGACAACACATGTTTGTCACGCTCACATCTAAACATTTAGTAGAAATGAACTGTTTTAGCTAAATTAGTTAATAAGTCTGTCCGCCTGATGGTGATGTTAGCGTGCTTATAGACACTCTTAATCTATTGTTAGAAGAAAGTAATTCTATCTAATCGAGGTCTTTTCTTCATAAAATAAATTTAATTTCATATTTGCAATATGTTAATTACTTTCTGTTGCACTTTAAGTATTTTTATTATACTGTTCTATTCATTTGTAAGTCTCTACTGTTTAAATCTAAACGCTTAATACTAATGAATAACCGTATTCCTTAACCAAACGCGATTTCCACACATTTTAAATCATATCAAATATTTTTAAACCTTACCATAATTACGGAATCATATCTACACTAGTGATATCGACTCAAATAGCACAAAAATTCCGATCACTAGTCATGATCCTGTACCTGACCTCTATTATGCTCCAACTACTGCTACAACAGCAACAATACCTTAGTAAAGCTCTTTCAATGGTATTTCATATTAATAAATCTAAAAAAATAAATATAAAGGTTTTACGCGTAGTGGTATGAAATACTGCCTCATAAATGACTCATGTATGACTTACATCTTACGTAAATCATGACACAATATGATGTCATGTAAATTTTCCGTTAATGTGTTTACTGGGTAGTCCCAGTAAACAAAATTTACTGATTTTTAGTAGGCGCTAGCCTACTATAAATCTAAATCCAGTACTGTTGATATTCAAGAATATACAATACTTTTAATGAGGCTCCTCAATCTATATTTAAGAGCGTGAATTGCCATGCAAGTAATAAGTCAACATTTATATTCCACTACAAAAACATTCAGTAGCAAGTGTGTTTGAATTTGCAGCATCAGGAGAAAGTAATAAAACTGAGTGGATTTAGTGAATAAAGGCATTTTATTTGGCTCCTCAATCGACCGACCGACGTTCTGCATAATAAATAATCGACTGTACTTACTTGATATGATCACACATCACTGATCACAACAGAAACAAAAACCAGAGACTAACATTTACAGATCATTTATATTGAGAATATATAATAATATTCGTTGTAACGTCGTTGTCCGTGTGGTGACGGATTAAGAATACAAATTGTCACCACCCCAATTCATCCCGTGGGTGTCGTAAGAGCCGACTAAGGGAGCAAACTAAGCAGGACAACAGCACTGCAAAGAGAAGGAAAACTTGAAACAAACCCTTTTTTTTTTTTTTTTTTTTTTTTTTTTTTTTTTTTTTTTTTTTTTTTTTTTTTTTTAACGTGTGGAAATCCCCTCGGACCGTCACCCCTCCGGGGTTTGCGGCGGGGTGGTGTGTCGGACACGGACCGACTAAAACCACACGGTGTGCCACTCTGCGCCTGTAACAGGAGGGATCCGGGAACAGCTGTTGTTAAGACATCCGGACCCCTCCTAGCGCCAGCCCGCTCCTGGTGCGGGCTCCGTCTCGATGTTTTTCCTCTCTTTATAGGCGACGTCCGGCACACGCGGACGCCGCCCCCTCGCGGCTGGCCAAACTAATGCGGGTGGAGGGGAAACCCACCCCGTCCACCCGCGGCCACACTCAGGGCGGCATGAGGCTGTGATAGGCGGGCCTCCGCCGCCCGGTTCGCCGGCGGCGGATCGGGTCCGAGTGGAGGTCGTCCTCCCGGGCCCTCTCCGCCGCCTCCTTCCGCGAGATTACTACCTCGCAGAAGGTAGCGACCGCGGTAAAACAACTGTCGCTACCGGCCATGGAGCGTACTACGGCCGGTAGCGAGAGATCCACTCCGATGACTGCAGTGAGGGCCCGACGCTGCGCCGCCCATGCGGGGCAGACCGCCAGCGTGTGCTGGGCCGAGTCCTCACTGCAGTCGCAGTGGTGGCAGGCGGGACTCAGTTCCCTCCTTGCGACCGTGTGCAGGTACTTTCCGAAGCAACCGTGCCCGGAAAGCACCTGCGTCAGCCGGAAGGAAAGGGTCCCGTGCTGCCGCCCTGCCCACTCGGCGATGACCGGCTGGAGAGCCTCCACGGCGGCGAAGCCAGCGCGTGGAGTCTCCAGCCGGAACGACCAACGAGCCATCGTGGCTCGGCGAGCGACTTCGCGCCACTCGCGCACATCCTCGGGCGGAGGGCGAAATCCGCTCTCCGCCCGGAAGTCAGCCACTCGCCGATAAACTTCGGCGAGCACTTCCGCCTCCAAATCCCACGGGGGAGTTCCGGCCAATGCGCATGCCACCTCCGTCGAAACGGTGCGGTAACCGCGTATGGCTCTGACCGCCATTACCCTCTGAGGGCGCCAGAGGCGTACCCTATTCTGGGCGGTCAGAGCCGCCGCCCACACCGGTGCACCGTACAGTGCCATTGACCGGACAACCCCCGTGTACAGCCGTCTTGTCGCGACGCTGGGTCCACCCATATTGGGCAGAAGTCGCCCTAGGGCAGACGCAGCGCCGACCAGCTTTGGAGCAAGCTGTCGGAAGTGCTCGTCGAAGAGCCACCTCCCGTCGAGGATCAGGCCCAGATATTTCATCTGGGCCCGAACCGGTACGAGGACCGAGTTGACCACGATTGAGGCGCCAGGGGGTGGACCACGACGGGGCCCATGGAATAACAGGGCCTCCGTCTTATCTAGGGCCACCCGTAAGCCCAGCGCCTCAATGCGCCCGACCACCAGGGAGACTCCCCCTGTGGCCAGGCGCGCCGCCTCTTGGAAGTTTGCCCCCCGGGCTGTCACGAGGGTATCGT